CAATTTGATTTATCCAATATTCCGAAAATCTTTTTGACACCCAACTTAGATCTCTCCCAGAAAGATAATTTTTATGCGGTATTTCCGTTTACAAAAAGCGGATTGTTAAATGAGGATTCTAATATTGTTATCCACGTAAAACAAATGCAAGAGAAGGTATGCATGCGCATTCATAGTGCATATTGCTTAAGCCACAAAAATGTAAGCAATTAATACAATGAGATGTGTTTTTATAACAGCTGAGTCACTATTTAGATGTTGTGGAAGTTAGAATAGCAGAGCAAGTTGCTTCCAAGTCCCAAGCATTTTTCCACGCTATGACTTCTCATGACGCTTTAATGGAGCAACTTACGCAAACTATTACAGTTTTAAAAGCCCTTAGGAGAAATATACACCAAGTTGATAAGCATCTAGTCAAGGATTCATTAGGAATTTTGAAGTAAGTAACTGCATTTAACAGTTCACCACAGAGACATCGCTTATTTAAATTTGAATGAATCTTCAGATTGGAGCGAGCACGGTCCAACAGATTATTAGTCCAAGAGAAACTGAAACTTATGGCTACAGTGCACCAGAGTCAACCGATGATTCAATTATTATTATCTACGCCAGACTATGTTGCAGCGTTAGATCTCATTGCTACGACACAAGAAATACTTCTGCAGGAATTGAACGGCGTACACAGTTTTAGGTACGTTCATATGGTCCGATATGCACAGAACAATTTGTAAATCTTGTGTTTAATTCCTCATTTTTAATTTAGGCATTTAAGTTCACAATTAACAGAAATGGAGAAACTCGTTGATAAAATGTTGTCTACGGAATTCCAACGCTACGCAACTGCGGATTTGAATAGACCGTTAGGAGGAGAGAATACAGTTTTGGATGGTGTAAGTAATTGTGTAATCTTTTATCGTAACGTAAACCTAGTTCGTAGCAAACAAACCGTCGTGCATCTCTTCCCAGTGAGATCATTTGTACATCCTCAACGAACAGGATAAACTTGTTTCCATCATTTCTGGTCTTCTGCGGCAAAAGCATTTTCAATTTGTGGATACTTATAAAGAGGAGGCTGTGACGACGGTCCGGGCTGTGACGAAACAGAGAGTCATAGAAGCTTTGACAGCCAGCGATTGTTGCAGCGATCAACAAGCCGCGGCTCTGGAAGTCGGGGGACTTTCTCTCGCGGAGAGATTAACGTTACTTCACAATTCTATACAATCTTTGACATTCCTTCTTATGAGAGTGAAGGTACTTAAGACATTACGTTATTGATAAGAACAAAATTATGACGTCTTGAAATTTGTGTAAGAGGTTTCTTTAAGCCGCTGTAACATCCAGTAGTTGAATTGAAATTGAAATTGTAGAAATAGAAATTTTCTTTTAAATTGAATCAAGCTTTCATTTGACATAAACGACATCACTGGAGAAAAATAAGTCCGTGTGCGTTGTCAAACTTCTCTAATTTTTTAA